AGCACGCACACACAGGGTTTTAGAGAGGCGGTGCAGTGAACATCCTTACAAATACGTGGTCACTGTTGGGGTTATCTGCTTGGAAAGAACGGTGCTCTGGCGTTTACTAACTACAGCCTCAGACAAGGTGTTTCTACCTTTTCCCTTACTTTCTTCATGGGTTGCTGTGAGGCTTGACTGACTTAAACCTGTAACAGAATTAGAAGAGTGTCCGACACATAATAAGTGCTTGGTAAGTGGTAGCTTATTGCTATGGAGTTATTTCTAGGAGCGGAAGCCCTGGGTTAATTGGTGGTACCTTTTATAGACTCATCATCATTCGTTTATTCAGTAAGTGTGTGCTGCGTGCCCACAGTATGTCTTGGCATCTAGACAAGGGTGGAGCTAAATGACCGCTGTGACGGCAAAATGGTAAATAAAGTACAGCGGATGTTACGCAGTAGCAAGTGTCACAGATAAACAAAGAGCTGTGGTTGCTTTTCCTGGTGCTCTGATTCCAGCGTGCTCTGCACTCGGGTCATCGTCTCACCGTTTCATTCTTCATCTGTCATTCCACAAGTATCAGCAAGAGATGGTAACCACGGAGGTTCTCCTCTGATTCGTCTTTGGTTCTTGGTCAAGGAGGGGGTTAAAATGGTTGCCCCCCCCCACTACCTTTATCACATTCTCAATGATTCTCAAGAAGGTGACTGTTTTTTTTCCTTTTTATCTTTTAAATTATGAAAGTATGAGAACACACAGGAGACTTGGAAAATACAGAACAAAGTTACATATAGTTATATATTACAATTATTTTTTTAAGTAGATAAATTCAGATTTTTAGTTGGAGCTACAATATCAAGCTCTCAAAAATTAATAGAATGAATATACAGAGAAGTTGAAGGATATAGTAGACCTGAGAAGCATTATGAACCAATTCTGCATAATTAAGATTTATGCAATTTTCACACAACAGTAGGATACAAATTCTATTTAAGTTCCCATAGACTATAAACTAGGAGACACTGAACATATCCAAGGACACACAACAGGGTGCAAAAACTTCATGGTCTAAAGGTGTTGAAATCATACAGTCTATTCTTCGAGAGGGTGATTGTTAAGAGATTTGTTGTTTGAAACAGTGTCACTAGTGACAGCATATGGATCTATTTATTTACCATATTAATCTTAGCTACTTTAGACAACTGTGATATGCCATTCCTAATTTCTGGCTTCTTTCTGGAAAGAAGCATATTCCTTCTTGGTGCTTCCCTTGCTCTTTGTACCTCTGTGAAAGCAATAATCACCATTCTTCTTTGTGTATAACACACATGTTTTTTCCCGTTGCTAGACTTTGGATGCTTCTGGTCAGGGACTGTGGCTGGTTCACTGTGAAATACCTCAAGTGGTTACCATTCAAGGAGGTTCTGTTGGATTGGATTTGACCTTCCCCCTTGGTATCATTTGGCCTTCTTTCTGGTAAATATTCAGAATGTCCCCCAGGGTTATTCAGTACTGCATTCCAAAGGACCTCAGAAATGATTTACACCAGCAGTTTGTGATAAACAGCAGACCCTTGGCAGACAAAGCCTTTATAATTTATGACTCCACCTCTGGTGACATATGGATGTGGCCTTTGGCAGACTCCCTGATATGAAATGATTTTTTTCCTAAATTGGCCTTATCTTGAAGTATCTTTGAGTAACACTGATCACCAGATCCTTTCAAACACCACTCAGATACCAACAAGTTTTGCTCCTACATAGGAGCATATATCTGTTTTATGTTGTTAATAAAAACAGAAAATATTTTCCTAAAGGAATTATAGAAAAATTGATTTAGTATCTTTTTTTGCTATACAAATAAGCATTTAGTTTAACTTCTCTTATTTATTACTGAATATTTCAGCATGGCATATGTTTTTTCTAGTATCACATTACTATCAGCAGTTCTTTGGACCTTAATTTTTCCACTTGAAAATTTAATGAGTTTGTATTTTTTATATTTATTTACTCATCTAAAATTTATATCTTATTTAATTCTAAACTTTAGAGTTGATGAAAAGGATATAGAGAGTATAAAAAAAAAAAAAAGGTATCAGAAGTGAAAAAAAAAAGAAACAGGGAAAAGTAAAGTAGGCCCTCAAACTGGAACAAGATGTGAAGCTGATAGAAGGGTGCAGAGCCTGGGTCATTGTCCCAGCTGCCGGTTTTAGTGACGTGCCGGGTCGCAGCCAACAGGAAAAAGGGGTCCTTGCCGGTTGCCTGGTTCCCATGGCTCACCAGATAGAGTCATTCCTTGTCTCAGAGGAGTAGAGCTACTCAGGAAGCCAGGACCAGAGGCTCTGTTTCTCGAGAAGTTTGAAGGGAGGACACCACGGCTACAGGAGCAGTGTCTCAGCAGCGTCCTCAGCTTTAGCCTTGTGAAGAGTCCCAGGGGCATCTGGTGCGGTCTCTGCTAGAGAGGCCAGGGCGTCTGTGCACCCAGGAGTCACTGGCTTCTGCTCTGCACTTATTGAAGGAAATGCGCACTCCATCAGCATGCTTTGCAGAAGAACTTGACCTTAAACTTCTTAGGGTCTGTTCTTTCTCTGTGCCATACAGTTGACTCTCAGCTCACTGTGTCAGTGGGAACCGTGTCCCTGGTGCCTGTTATGTGCGGTAAACCATTCTTACTTGTTTCCTTTGAGGTTGTGTTTTCCTCTGAGGTTGCTTCCCAGAGGCTCAGTCTTTCTCTGCCTTTGGACATAGGACTGTTGCTTTATATTTATTTATTGGAATATAATTGCTTTACAACATTGTCAGTTTCTACTGAGTAGTATTGACATGTATACACGTGTCATTGTTGTTCAGTTGCGAAGTTGTGTCTGATTCTTTGCAACCTCCATGGACAGTAGCAAGCCAGGCTCCTCTAGCTCCACCAGACAGGCTCCACTGTCTCCTGGAGTTTGTTCAAATTCATGTCCTTTGAGTTGGTGATGCTCTCTGAGCGTCTCATCCTCTCTTACACTACCATGTGTAAAATAGGTAGCTAATGGGAAGCTGCTATCTAGGAGCTCAGCTTAGTGCTCTGTGATAACCTGGGGGGTGGGGTGGGAAGGTNATTGAAGTTGGGAGGAGAAGGGGATGACAGAGGATGAGATGGTGGATGGCGTCACCAACTCAATGGACATGAATTTGAGTAAACTCCAGGATCTGGCGATGGACAGGGAGGCCTGTCATCCATGGGGTTGCAAAGAGTCGGACACGACTGAGCGACTGAACTGAACTGGCATCCAGTTGGACTGGGAGAAGCCTTAGGCTGTTTCTTGGCTTTTTTTCCCCTTAGTGTCACTTAATGATTTTGTTTCCCCAGGCTGCTCTCTGCCTCTCACTGTTCAGCAAGGATTCTCACTGATTTCATGGCTCTTGAGAGGATCTCCCAAGTTCTGTCCTATCTGGGGCTAGTGTTCGTTTTCTAGTGTAGTTTTATTTGCCACAGCATGGTCATTAGCTCATGTCACAGTCACAGGAGGCGGTGGCCTGGCCGTACCTGCTGCTCGGCATGCTGCGGCTTGCGAGAACTGCGATCGACTGCGCCCGAGGGTCCCTGAAGGCGCTGCGCGCTCTGCCCCACAAAGTGCTTTGTTTTATTTAACACAAATTAATGCTCTTTATTTTGTTCAGTGATTTTTGTCAATACATAAATGCTTAGAGTTCATTATAATCACAGTTTGCTTGTTTACTTTTAATGTGTGCGTCTTTAATCTGTGGTGATTTATGTGTTTACTGCCTGCAGTATGAATTTCTCTGTCAGAACATGTACTGAGATATTTGTACTTACAGTACACTCATTTGTTTTACATTTCCCCAGGGAGCTAATGTTTTATATTTTTCTCAAATATATTTATTTAATGAAATTATGATCTTCTCATTGAAATGTTTATTTTTAAAATTCCAGTTAAACATTGTATGTCATGCAATTTAATTTACATTTGGGTGGTTGAAGTGGATTATTTACTTAAAAGTAATTGCTGCAGTATCTCAATCTTTCTCTATATTTATAGATATATAAGCTTATTTTAGATACTTTACTGATCTGCAAAATTTTGATTTTGATGGTATCATTCTTTCTTGTAGGCTATCTTTGTTGTTAATGAAGTAGCTTTTTGTTTTAGAGTTTCTTATAAGGGAATTCCCAAGTTCATATCTTTTGAAAAATACTGGTTCATTAAAAACCCCTATTTTAAATCAACTTTGAGAACTGTAAGGAGCTCACTGAATACAGCATTCTTGGCAATCAGAGAATAGGATCAAGTTTTTTTTTAACTTGGACTAGCAATTCTAGAATGAGTAATGAGGAAATGTAAACTGACCTTTTTTCCCCCCGACCTGTCTTCTTATTGTTGAATTAAATCTGTTGTCTGTGATTTTTAAGATGGTTGGTAAACCTCTGCCCAGCCCTTAATAAGTCAGCAGTCATTCTTTCTTCTCATCCTGTTATTCCCTCCTCTTACCAAAGTTACTCTCTTGCTATGCTATTAGGAAAATCTTCAAAATCTACTTGTTAAATATCTAAGTATATAGGATTTATTGGCTAACTACCAATGCCTAACCATCAAAGACCGGACATTTAACCCATTAAGGTAAACCTTTTGATCAGCAGGAAATGACTAATATTTTTTTAAAATTCAATTTGACAGGCATTTACCAGATACTATGTTCAAAATATTGTGGCTAATAAGAGGACTAATAAGTCAATAGTCTCATTTAAAGTAACTCCTGTTCTTGCTTTTTTCTATTACTTTGCTAGAATTCGTCGACCTAAAACAATGAAAGAGCCAGCTGTTTTTATCAGCAAAATGGGTTTATTCAGGAACAGAGCAGAACTGCCATAGAGGCCATGTGATCTTTGGGGAGCCCCAGGCAAGTGTGGAGACAGAGAGGAGCGGCCTTCTGTAGTGACGAGGGGGACTAGTCGTGGCAGTCTCCCATTGGCTGGGCTGTTGCTAGGCAGGGAGAAATTCTCCTTTCTACCTGCGGAGTGGTGAATGGCCTTCCTCCTGTTGGAGATGCAAATGTACGTCTCTTCCTGTTGATGTCAAGGAGGAGTAGGGGTGAGAGCTCTCCCTGTGGTCCCCGACTCCAATTTAAGTGACGTTTCTGTTTATTAAGTTGTTTATGGTATTTCATGTTTTTAATGACGATCCCAGGCAAAAATGCCTCATTGGAGAGGATGTGGAGCGTGTTTAGGATTAGGATCCTCTAGACCCTCAGAGGGCAGGATTATGGGCATAGTGGGCATCAAGACCTGGGCTTGGTGTAGACCTCAGGCCTGGTGGGAGTGACATCTCTATATGCTCTGTGAGGTGCACAGACCAGGGAATGTGTGTGGGGAGACAGCAGGAATGTGCCAGAAAGACCACAGGTCAAATGAGACAGACACGTGAGAGGGCCGAGCACATTGCCTCATGGCTCAGTAAATGGTGGCTTCTGTTCTTTTTTTATGATGAACGTCCCTCCGTGAAGATAGCTTTTCATCAGCACCTGTGATGTGACAGGCAGGGCACCAGGTACAGAGGATTCCACTGTGAACTAGACAGGCCAACTCACTGCCCCCTGGAACTTGTGGGGTATGCCAAGGGCACAGGCCAAACAGCGTGTGTGGTGGTGGCAGGATACAGCATGCAGTTGGAATGTGTTCTTCTGAAGAGCAGTGCAGGAAGAATTCCCATTGGAAGGGGTGTTCTGGCTGGAAGGCGGGTGGCAGAGTAGGGGTGAGGGGACCCCTGTTCTGACAGAGGCGGCATCCAGAATGGCCATCCAGGGAGGGTGGTACAGAGCCCCCGGGAACTTGGGGTGCAGCCCGGGTCTGGGACCACATGGGCTCTGCTCAGGCAGCACCTCTAGCTTGCTCTGAAGGCGCCTGGGCTTCATCCCACCGCAGCTGGGGAGCTACAGATTAAACACTGCTGGGACCTGACAAAACACTTAGAAAAATTCCTCTGGTCTCAAAGGTGAACGAGCATTTCCTCCAGAGCCAGCCTCTGAGTAGGAAGCAGGCTTAGCCATTCCCCAGCAAGAACACTGGAGTGGGTTGCCATTGCCTTCTCCAGAGGATCTTCCTGACCCAGGGATCGAACCTGGGTCTCCTGAGTCTCCTGCACTGGCAGGCGGATTCTTTACCACTGAGCCCTCTGAGGAAGAATAGTAGTCAAATGCTCCTCTCCCCAGGGGTTGTGCCTCATCTCAGTTAGCCCAGGACCACAGCTAAACTGGAAAAGCAAAGACTTTTTGGGGACTTGGCTGCTTTGTGGTCTCTGTGGCCACCAGGGCAGCTGTGATTTCTGCTCTTCCTTTGTTTTCTGAGGCGGCTGGGGACCCTTCGGGCCCCCCACAGCTCCTTCCATTTTCCACTGTCTTGTTCCAGTGCTCATTAAGAAAGAAGAGACAGTGTGGAAGGAAGAAAGGAAAGGAAAGCTGAATGTGTGATAAGCTCAAACCTAGACACTGTTTTTTATCTTTGTTTTTCCTGACAGCTTCATCAATTCTACATGCATTTATTGAATATTTACTAAAGACGAACTGTATTTTAGGTGTCATTCGTTGCAGAGTTGGCGTTCTGAAGATAGGGTGTGTTGCAGGATTCCTAATAGTCTACTTTGATGAGTAAACTTGATAGACTTGGCTTCACAGTGAGGGCTCAGCTGTCTTTTCAAAGCAGACTCTCTGTGGTCCCTGATTCAACATGGTTTGTAAATTTCTGCTGTTAACTGGTGCTGGAAGCTGTGTTTAAGGAACCAGTAGGGCCAGCATGATGTTCCTGAGAGTGTATGAACCTGGGAAGATTCTTGGCTTCCTTTCCACAGCCCAGACCCTCATCAGTGCTAGACTCAGGGTCCCACCATTTGCAAACAAGATGTCCATTCCCTTGTGTACCATCTCCCTCCACACACACATTCCACACAGCAGAGGCATCTTATAAAGTAGTTGGTGCAACACTGCACTGTCTGGCGTCCTAAAAATCAGAAGGAAAACATTTCACTTAAAGATGTGAAGCAGACCGATTACTAAACCGAATGAAGGAGCATGTGATAAAAGGCAAAAGAAAGTTGAAAAGTCTACTGAAATGAATAAAAATTCTAGGGTTAAGAAGATAAGGAGTTATCAGGCTCACAAATTAATAACATGAAAAGCACATTCTCTGAATCATAGAGAAGGTCTGAGCGTGCGCTGCCGTGTTGGAGCCACTTGACGCCTCTGAGTGCTGAGTTGTTTTCCGGGGTGCTCCTTCCCGCCCCCTCCAGGCGGTGGCAGTTCTCACTGCTTTACTCTCAGGGGGAGCCCCCTTTGCCTCTCAGAGGACACATCCAGCATCAAATGCCGGCCACGCTGGTCCCCAGTGAGAGTGCTCTTCCTGGCTTGATGGCCACCTTCTGGCTGTGTCCTCACGTGGTGGGCCAAGAGAGAGCGTGAGCAGGCCCCCAGGCATGGTCTTCTGGCCCTCCCCCCCATCCTCACGACTTAATCTCATTGTCGTCACCTCCCAGAAGCCTGCTCTCCAGATACCATCATGATGGTCGTCAGGACTTTAACATATGAAGTTTGGGGCAACAGACGCCTCCAGCCCATAGCAGCATCTCATTTAATATATTTAAGCTAAAAGAAATACATTTATCAATTTTCAAAAGGGGGAAAACACCCACATAGGCTATAAACAATGATTGCAGCTGGCTTTTGATTTTTTCATGAGCAAGACAAGTAAATCTAGAGATAAACTATAAAATTCCATTAAGTCAGAACTTCAAAGGGACCATCTTCATAAAGGGAGTAACTCTGTTTAGAGAAAGTTTGGGGGATCAACTTATTAATAGCATTCAAAGATATCAAGCTTCCTTTGTTCTTTAAAGTTACGGGAATGAATTAAAAGCAAGATTCCCAGTCTATCATGTATCATTGAAACCCAAAACACAATAGCATTTGTCTTGTTACAGGCCAGAGGAGGCTGTAAATCTATTATTTATTTTTTATTAAAGGTGCAAGCTCCAGAGCCAGGCCCATGAATAGCCAAGAGAAATAGGAGATGAAGCCTTTCATCTCTCCGAGTCCCTCCCCGTGTGTCCTGGTCAGCAGTGATTCAGTGTTCCTGCTTCTCTTATGAATGTGTTTGTTTACCTGGACTGTGTTCAAAGGCGAAGAGAAAAGAAAGGGGGAAGATGAGGAAAATCACAAATATGACTTTACTTTTCAGAGCAGAGTTAGAGTTGTAATTCGAGACAGTTCTGTTGCCATTTCCAGCTCTCGACAGAATTTTCCAGCAAACCAGTTGTGCTCCGGATCCTCATAGACCATTAGGAGTAATGTAGGATCCTGCTGCTGTGCTATTCAGACTTCTCTTTTATGTCCATCCCTCACCCCCACGTAGGTCCCTTGGGGTCACCGTTGTTTACAGAGTAGGTGGTGGCCTGCCCCAGGTGAAGGCTTCTGAGATTGCACCAGACACCTGGGTCTGACTCTGAACCAGCTGTGGGCACCGGGAGTGAATAAGCTACACACTGCCTGATTAGAGAAAAACTGCGCCTTCTTCAGGGGACCTGTGAGCAAGTGCAGAAAACGGGGAGCAGAGAAGCCCCAGTGGACACCAGGGAGGCAGTGGAAGATCCCTAGTGACTTAGTATGGTGGCTTTGGAGGAAACTCACCTGGGTCGTGGGTACCATGCCTTCAGCTGTCCAGCAAATAACTTCTTCACTTGAATACCTTGGCTGCACTATGGTAAAGCAGCCAGTATTTTTGACTTGCTAAAGAGAACAAGTCGTAGTCAATTCTGCCAGTTTTCTCCAGGGCAGGAGACATCACGTATACCTGTGTGAACTATGCACAGGCATGTATGTTGCTGTGTTTTGATGTGCTAACCCGTGTGAACCAACTAAAAATAGCGTTTCTTCATTGCCCTAGAAACTAGAGCTTCTATGTTTTGTTCCTGATGCTTCTTTGATTCAGGTAGAAGGTATGAACTTAAACTATATAAGTAGTCTCTGCAAAGCCAAAGCCAAACCAGCTGCTGTTTGCGGGCACCACCTAAACCTGCCTCTGGGAAACAGCGCTTTAATTTCCCGGGTAGCTGGCAGGCATCTGAGCAGAGGGTAGACTTGGTGTGCGTCTGTTTGCCTGTCCTCACCGCGGACAGACTTCCTGGTCTTTCCTCAGCCTTGTGGCCACCTCCCGACGTGAGTCCCCGTGTCCAGTCCACCTCGCAGAGCCTGGCCATGCTGGAGGGTTCATCTGCCTCTGAGCCCACTCTGCACCAAGTCCAGCCTCCTGCATCTGGAGTCTTGGGCCCCCCGCAACCCCCACGGGCCGGCTTGGCATGCCCTTTCCCTGTGCTTCTCTGTGGGTCTGCTGTCCCAGTAACAACCACGGTGGTAACCGCAGAGCTCCTGGGCTGGTGCTTTTGCACCATCTTACCGAGGAGGAGGAGGCCAGGAAGGAAGGGGGCCCAGCCTGGGAGCCCCGACCAGCAGGTCCAGGTGTCAAGGCTTTGCTGGCTGCAGCCTCACATGCACCCTTCTGTGCAGTGGGTCCTCTTGGGGTCCCCTCCCTCCTTGAACCCCCGGGGATGTCTTCCGTCTTGGGTTGTTTGGCTGTCTCTGTGTCAGACCCTGTGCCGAGAGCTTTCTGTGTCTGTGAACTTAGAGTGAAGCAAACTGAGAATTTCGTCCTTGCAGCAGCCCTGGGAGGAAAGCATTCCCCGTCTTACAAACGAGGGACCTGGCTCGCATTGAGTTTTCATTTGCTTGTATTGTCCTCCAACCATGTTACAAGCTTCATGAGGGCAAAGACTGTAATTTCCTCATTTTCCATGTTTCCAGGCGACCCCTAATATGTCCATACAACAAAGAGGCTTTCAGTGAATGCCTTAATTAATGCAGTTTACAGGCAACCTCGAGATACAGAGAAAGGATCAGAGGAAGAGGGAGCAGGAGAGCTGGTCAGACGTATCCTTCAGAGTCACCTTGTGAATGAGGAGAAAGAGGTGGTGAGGTTCCTTGCTTTCCCATCCCCTCCCCCTTTTTTTGGATTCATCTTGTATTTTTTTCCCTGAAGTTTGCATCATTT